CCCCAAAACCCCAAAACCCCAAAACCCCAAAACCCCAAAACCCCATATCTATAGATCTATATTGAATATTTTTATTAAGGGATGGAACACAGCAACACAGGTATGGGTTAGAATAATCTCTCATTATAGGCTTAAACCCTTGTCAAAAGGTCAAGGATAGCTGCAAAGCTGTAATGGAGCTTGCCAAGCATGTGAAGGTATGCATCAGGCATTAACACATAGATTAACAAAGAAAACCTTCTAAAATTGGTTGAAAATATTGAAGAGACCGAGTTCAAATACGATTGTTGGGAACAATGGCACTTCCAGTATGATTATTCTGTGGCTCAACTGCTATAGGACTATACCTGATGTATCCCAGATCACTGATGAGCAAGTCATAGCTTATGTGTTCATCATAGATGCACTTAATTTCTGCTTCTGGCCTACTGAAGGGTTTGAATATGATCAATTAGCGAATAATCTAGCTAAAATATTAGTGGATGATCCTGAATTTTTCACTTCTAAGAGGATGGCGCAAGCTACTGATGAGGATATCTGAAAAATATTGTAAGCCTACTTGATCACTCCACAGCACTGCTGACTTCTGCCTCATTCAGGAAAGAAGCAGGTTACTCAGAGAGGTAGGAGAGATTATTGAGACAAAGTTTGAAGGGTCATTTTCTAACTTCGTCTCCAGTGCCGGAGGGAATGCAGTTAAATTAGTCGACCAGATAATCTCTAATTTCCCTGGCTTCAGAGACGAATCCATCTACAACATTGCAGTAAGCTTGGCTTGAATAATTACCAGGGAGAAGATGCCTTAAAGGGAGGCCAACAAGTGTTCTTTTACAAAAGAGTCCAAATCTTAGTTGGCGATCTCTACGCAGCTCTTGAGAATAGAAACCAGAGCTTGGTCAGTCAAGATATAGAGCAACTAACCATGTTCCCTGATTACCGGTACGCTATCTTAATTCAAACTTAGAGTGCCTCAGATACTCCATCATTTAGGAGTCTTCGAGTACTCAGAAGACCTTGAGAAGCAAATTATTGATGAAGAAATAATTCCTCATGGCGATCAAAAGGAAGTCGAAATTAGAGCTGCCACTATCGAGTGTGTTGAACAAATCAAGGGTACTGCGTTTGAACACAACCCTAATATCAATCTCAAATCGTAAGCTAAGTGTCCTCATTCTAGAATCGAAGTCGACTGGATTTTATGGCAGATGGGTGAGAAAAAGTTGGATGAGATGAAACCGCATCATAGAACACTCTCAATATTTTACTAAACCCATGGGGTTTTGGGGTTTTGGGGTTTTGGGGTTTTGGGG